GAAAAACAGGACAGTGAATACATATAACAAAAGAACAGAAAGGGAAAATAACCATCGAGTGAAGAGAACATGTATATTTGAAAGATGACCATTGCTGATATGAAATTTGGTTTATACTTCCTAACACAATCTAATACATCAACGATATGTAACATAAAAAGACTTTTTTGGCTCTTTTTCTTTCTCCTCTCATCGCATAAAATACGATTTTGTTGCTATATAAATATTCATAGCAAGCACACTATAACCATCCTTCTTCAATTGTCGAGAGTTACCCTCATACAGTCACTCGTCAGCTTTATCTCTTACATCAGCCTTGGTCTCACAAACAATGTGCGATAATTCTGTAGAGGGATACGAAATCATCCACCAAATAAGGCATAATAGTACAACAAGTCTTAATATTGAACAGAAGGATATATCAAATGAAGCAGCCAAAGCAATTGCAGCAGAATTGAAAATAAATTTAGCGTTAAAAAGCCTTAGTATCACACGGAGTATATCGGACCAAGGGGTCAAAGCAATTGCCGAAGCATTGAAAGTAAATTCAACAGTAACAAGTCTCAATATTGCAAGCAACAGTATATCGGATGAAGCGGCGAAAGCAATTGGAGAAGCACTGAAAATAAATACAACGTTAACAAGTCTCAATATTGCACACAGCAGTATATCGGAAGAAGGTACTAAAGCCATTGCAGAAGCACTGAAAATAAATTCAACATTAACAAATCTGGATGGAACAGGCTGCGAAATATCGGAAGAAGGTTGCAAAGCATTTGCACAAGCATTAAAAGTAAATTCAACATTAACAAGTCTCAATACTGCACTCAACGGTATATCGGAAGGTGGTAAAGCCATGGGAGAAGTACTGGAAATAAATTCAGCATTAACAAGTCTGAATATGAGTTATAGCAGTATATCGCCAGAGGACGCCAAAGCCCTTGCACGAGGGTTAAAAATGAATTTAACGTTAACAACTCTCGCTATTGGAACCCACACTATAACGAAAGAACTAGTTCAAGCAGTTGAAGAAGCATTGAAAATAAACACAACATTAAGAAGTCTTTTTGTTGATACGTACAGCTCTACGTTATCTGATGAGTTCGCAGCACTTAAAGAAATGTTGAGGATGAACGCAAGATTAACTACTACTAGCATCAAGTACATGATACACGGAGATTGACAGTTTCGGCCGATTCTTCATAGGAATAGTACGTTGTACTTATTCAACCATACAAATTCATTTGCAATTTGTGAAGAATGCATTTGCAAAAATTTTCATTGTCACCATGTACGGTTGAACAAACACATGATCTGTCTTGAACTCTGTGGACCGGGAGCCACAATCGTATTTTGTACTTTGAAATTCTGGTGTGTGGTTTTCTTAGACATCGAATATTGCATTCTGACGCTTTTCGAGTATATAATCATTTGTATCTAAAGATGTTTGTTGATCAAAAGTATCCTTTTTTAATGACTAAAAAATTGATACTGAGTAAAATATCCAGATATTGTTAGCAGACATTTTCATGCGTCTGAAACTGCAGCGACCCCTCCCTATGATATATTGCTTCTTACTGTTGTGTTCATTTTCGATGCTTCTGGAACTGCGCTGCGTGGCAAATGAAATTGTATGGTTGAATAAGCACAACATAATATTCCCATGGACAATCGGCCAAAACTATCAATCTGATACATCAACGATATGTAACATAAAAAGATTTTTTTGTCTCTTTTTCTTTCTCCTCGCATCGCACAAAATACGATTTTGTTGCTACGCTGTAATGTCGGGAATTATTTATAGAAAATGCTCGGCGATTTTCAAAAAGTCCATATATAAATTCGCTGAGGATTTTCCAGATTCTAGAAAATCGAATTCACAAGAAACTTGGAAATTCGATCTCGATTTTCCAGAATTCAGGAAATTCGAAGTCGAATTTCTATAAATAATTCCCAAGATTCTTGAAATTCGAGGTCAAATTGCCGGAATTCTGGAAAATCGAGGTTGAATTTCCAGTTCGATTTTCTAGAATTATGGAAAATGCTCAGCGATTTTCAATCTGGAAATTCCTCAGCGATTTTATATATGGACTTTTGTAAGTTCGAGAAATGAAATTAATTTCCAGTTATCTGGAAAATCCGTGAAGAATTTTCAATTATTTGGAATACCGCTGAGGATTTTTCAGGCTTTTATGTAATTATATGATGTCGTGTTAGATATTTTAGCATACTCCGAGAGGCAGAGACTTGAAACATTAAATGGCAAAAGAAAAAGCTTCTCGGGGATTGCGTAAACCTGACGGACTTCTAGATTAAGAATGCCCTCAAGTGTTGGTGTTTATTATTTATCGTTTGAAAGATGCTTTGTTTATTTACTTTAGAACTTAAACAATATGCCATGACTTTTTAAAATTCAGACAGCATTTCTGAAATAAATTACGTTACTAAAACTATGCATTTGTAATTACATAAATATTTATAAACTCTTGAGATCGGACAGCACAAAAAGCAATATAGGCGACGTTTGGTAAACTAGACTGTAAAGTAATGACTCATCCGTTCAACAGGACCAACTATACAGTAGCGGAAATAAATAAACGCCGAAAACAGCTCGATACATTAGAGTATAATGCTCATTTACGCGTTATAGGCCGAAGAAAAGTACAAAAGTAATTATTCGCGATCATAAAGGTAGATATTTGACACAAGTGACCGAAACACTCAGACGAAAAACCTTGAAAAAGCACACAGCTCTGAGGAGTACAAGCACTATTTAGCCCATGCACGTGGAGCACGGAAAATCGCACAAACGGCTCTTCTTCCTCAGTTTCTCTCACTCTAACACCCCGATGACGATTTTCATTGCGTTAGTAATTTATGTGCACATTTTCTTCATGACTGTGTCCATTTCTATTGAGATACCTCTACACAAGACGCATTCAGACGTGCATTAGTCGATTTCAGCCATACATATACCACTATCAAAGTTAAGGTTAACAAAATGACTCATTGCATTTTAGAAAATCGATTTCGAATTTCAAGAATCTTGGGAATTATTTATGGAAAATCAAATCAAACTCGAATTTCAAGTATTTATAAAATCGACGCCGAATTTTGATATTTTTGGAAATTCTATGGCGATTTTCTGAATAAAATGAAAATTCAATGTATAGAAAATCGCGAATTTCTAAAAAGTCAGAACGAGCATTTTATAAATATCAGAAAAAGCTCCACGATTTTCCAGATCGATTTTCTATAAACTAGAAATTAATTCCAAATTACAGTGTAACATGTACCAGATGATGATTTCAAATCTGACGAATTCGTGTACCAACTGACAGTTCTGAACAAAGAATTGAAGTAGCTAAGAAATAACAGTTCATCTCCAACAATAAAGAAAAAGAACTTACTAACAAATCGCTGTCCTTGTGAACATAATTCAACGTTACCAATAGCAGATTTAAACCGTTGTTCTTTCAACAAAGATCGAAACCATTTTGTTAAATTAGGAAATGATTCACGTAAATTGCCATCAAGAATCTATTCGAAAAAATAAAAATAAATAGAGGTAACAATGAGCAATTTTACATAAAAGAGAAAAGAAAAATGTCATGGTAATCTCATTTTTGGATCACAAATGTTTCAAATTCTCTTCCTCAGCCAGCAGTTAAAGCAAAACTGTTGACGGCTCAACATCATTTCAACTATAACAACATCAATTAAGTATATTGCTAACTTTATTAAATATAAGATGTTAACGTTCTTTCAAATGTTCCCACTATTAGACTTTAACTGTAGTGATCGTCTAGCGATAATATCCGTACCTACTAGGGGTGTGACAGTTCAAGCTCGTGAACTGTGAGTAAATGTAGTAAAGAGCTGGTGACCATCTCCAGTTCGTACTCATGTGAACTGTTAACCAGCTCCAGCTCCTACTCATGTGAGCTATTAACCAGCTCCAGCTCCTACTCATGTGAGCTGTTAACCAGCTCCAGCTCCTACTCATGTGA